GTTACAGAGAGTAAGAGTAAAGAGGGGTGTTTGAGGAAAGGATAAAGAGAAGAACAGGGATCAAGATCATGGCATCAGAAGATGTCAATTGACATTACATTTGAATATTTGAAGATAAAAGCTATCAGGGAAGCAAGTAAGAGGAAGGGAGTGTCCACTGTTGGGAAGTATTAGATAAGGTGTTGGAGTAGAAGAGGCACTTACATTCAACTTTTTCGACAGTGAAAGGGTGGGACCAGGATGCCAACCTAGTAGTACATTTAAATTCATGCAGTGGGGGTACCAGTGAAAGTAGCTCGTCAGAGCAGTTGCCATGAAAATATTTGTAGAAAAGGCAGAGGAAAGCTTCATCATGTCTTTGAGAAAGTGACTGGAGTCAAGATGCCAGGCCAGAATCTATAACATTAATGGAGGTAGTATATGCAATCTGAAATTTTTGGTCAGTTTTGACTGAACAAAAAGGTGACCATATAAGTTTTTAACATACTTATGTCTTGAATATTAGGAACAATAGAATTACTTAATTTTGTCATATTAATATTTAATACATCAATTTCAATAAGATCATGATTTTTTTACACATCCGGTGACTACTCTTGATATAATGTCATACCTTTTCATATTGATATAATGTCATATCTTGTTTCTCGAATGTCTTAATAACAGAGCCAACAAAGTTTTTGAACTTGTTGATTGCTTTTGAAAAGTTCAGGGTGATCAATGTATAGAATAAAGTTCTTGGGATTTAATGGATCCTCACTCCCAGTACCCACCTGTACAGATTGAAAATAGTTCTTTTTATTGCATTTTCTGCAGGCTTTGCCAAATACAGAGCTGACTGTCAAATTGTGCTGAAAAGACTGGATTTCATTCAGTCATTAGTTAGACAGTGTTGAGCCTAGTTCGCACTTTGATAGGTGAGGGCCACTTGGAAACACTGGGTACTATAAGCAACCTTCTATAATCTGAAATATGTTCTGGCCTTAAATAACCCACAAAGGATTGACAAGTTGTACAAAGAAACAAAACAAAAAAAACAATCAATCCCAAATGCAGGACATTTTTCTTTAATAAACACAAGTGTATATCCAGGGAATTTGCATTCAGAAAAATGTCTTACATTGCTCATGTGATAAATATTAACTGCTTTTGGTTTTGTTTTATTAGAAATATTGAACTTAACAAAACATGATATTGATTCTTGTTGGTGTATAAAATTGATACATGCATTAAATGACATATTTTCCAATTGGATTTCTTTTTACATTTTTGCTCTTTCATCAGATAAGTTGCTTATATATCATTTCATCTTTGCTACTCAGTTTTTCTTAACCTAATTTTTTTTTTTAATCATTTCACCCAAAACAATGAAGCCACTAGGATGCAAGGGGTTACTGAGTGTGAAAGAATATGAGAAAAAGGAGAGAGAATAATAAAAGAACAGGAATTATGAAGACAGAAGTTAACAATTAGCATTAAATCTTAAAGATCAAAGTTGACTGGAAAGCAAGGAGTGCAAGAGAAGAAATTGTTAGCATAGAACTTACAGTTATATCTAGCCATTTTAAATTTAAAATGATGAGACCTAGCTACCAATCTAGTACAGTACTTCATAAAAACTAGGTACATTAGAAAAAAGCTCATCAGAACAATTACCATAGAAATATTTATAGAAAAATCACAAGGAAGCTACGTTATGGCAATGGCGGAAATGACTGAAACCGAGATGTCATAGTAGGGCAAACAACATTGCAGATTCTTCTTTGCATTTTATCAAGAATCTCTAAATAAATAGCAGAAGCACCAGACCAAATTTGACAATAATTAGGTTCATTGCAAATATGATGTAAAGATTTTATATCTTCAATGGGTTCCTGCTGTAAAGACCTGTTGTTTCAGCAGTTGCTACTGATTGTTGCTGGCCTTGTTTTGACAGTGAAAATATTTACTGCTAATCTCTTTTAGAGTAAAGAGAAGGTCATGTTGCAACTGAGATCAAGAGAAAAGGCTAAAATGAGGAAATAAGCAAAAATGTTGAACAATTTAATAACAATGGTAACAATTAAGTGAAATAGAATAGGCGTTTATAGAAGTGTTCCTAAAAGGTCTATTGAAATAAAGTTTGAGAAAACAAATGTCTGTGTATGTACAGATGTATGGGTAATAGGTATACATATATATATATATATATATATATATATATATAGCATGTGTTTGTATTTAAGTATAGAAGTAACTCACTTGTAAAACTTTTATCTTGCTTGTGTTGCTCAGACTGAGTGGTGTGATTGCTGTTAGTGCTCTTGTGTGTGCTTGTGGTGCATTGCTACAAGTGGATTGTTCTTATATAGGCCAGAGATAGACTCCAAATAAAAGCCAAATTTTCATATATTTTTAGTTTTTGTCATGTTTCTATTGGTTAAGAAAGTCGTGTAGTATTCTTGCTACTACACCTGCATCAGGAGACGACAGTCTTTTTCATGTCTATTTTTAGACTTGATGAAATTGGGAATTTGAAAATTTATTTTTATTCATTCATTTATTCTTTGTTTATTTTTGAAGACCCAACAGATATAATATTATCAATTCCATTCAAGACAATAACCTTTTTGCTCTCATGTTATTATTTCTCTTATTTCATCCAAATTCAATTCTTCCAAGCCTTTTTGATGAACCTCTTGGAACATCTTTCTTATGGAATCACATCCAGGCATTTTTCCACTTCTGTAATGTAACTCTCCTGTGTCTTTTTTATAAATACTTTCATGGTAATTGTTCAGATGAACTTTCCCCTGTACCAAGACTTTATGAATTTAAGCATACTACAAGATTGGAAGCATTCTTTTATAGTTGAAATAGCTAAATCTAACCATATGGTCAATGCTAACATTTTCTTCTATTGTACTTGTTACTTGTGGAACTCTCTTCTGGCTTCACAGTCAACTTTGATCTTCAAAAATTTAAATATGATGTCAAATGCTATCTGCTGTCTTCCTAATTCTTGTTCTTTTATTGTTCGCTCTCCTTAATAGTGAATTTTTGGCTATATTTCTGAGGTGAGCATTTATGTGCTGGACCATATATCCACTGAATAAAAACATTAGTTGATTGACTCAAAGAACTGAGAGTTCAAATAAAATAACTAAAACTGAGATATCCAAAGGCATGGCATGTGGAATTAGAACAATCTATCCCCGTGGATTAAATGAAGGATTTGGTGTGAGATTCTAACATATATCACCTGAAGAAGGCCAGAGCATATAACAGCTGAAACGTTGTGAATATGCCAATAAAAATGAAGACAACAATTGGAAAAATGTAGTGTAAATGTTTTTTCTTTTTTCTGTAAATGTTTTTTTTTTTTATCATATTTTAATAAAGACAAATATGGACATTATAAAGACTGTTCATTGTAAAATATTATAAAACTATACAAAACAGAGCCAATATAAAATATAAGTAAAGCAATTCTCATTGTAAAGGCATATTTATTAGAATATGTTTGGTGTCATTTTAACATCTTAGGATTGTGAGACAACAACATAAACGTCTAATGTCTGCATGAACTTTTAGTTCTTAGAGTATCATTGAGTTTGTTTTACTTTATATATTGTAGGTATATGTATGTATTCTCATTAATATGTTTTTTTTTTTTTGGATTCAAAAATCTGGTATTATAGGTTTTAAAAAATTTTATTATAGTTTTTCTACCTTACCTACAAATACTCAGGTTAAAGAGCCCAAATATCTGTAAATTGCTATCATTTCTTCTTAGATATTTCCTTTGCTTCATATGTTTGAATTCAGAATTGTCTTTTTCCTAGACTCTACCTTACCAAGGTTAAAGACTCTTCTACCCTATCATTTATTAGATGCCATTAAAAAAAGCCATTAGTGAAAAAAAACAGCACTGTTCATAATTTGAACATTAACCTGCTGATTTCATTTTCATTTTCTGCAAAATGTTATTTCTTTAGGACTACCAAATCCTTTATTGCCATACAATTCTCTCTTTCGAATGGTGTCAGCAAAATCATACTTCAACATAGTCAAGATTGTTTAACACTATCAGCCTTGAAGATATTTCAGTTGTTGAAAAATCTGAAAAAGATGATGTTTTGTGCAATTAAATTATTATATCTCAAAAATTGTTGTTACAAGTTGATTTTCTTTGTGAATAACTGGAGTTTTCTTTCAAATCATTACAAATTTATCCTCCTTTGTATTATTAGTCATAAAGTTTTGGCAGTCTATAACTTCATAAAACCACAGAAACCACATCACTTAAGGACTTTCAAAAGCAGCAACAATTAAAATGGATAGCAATTGTAAGTTGAAGAGACAATAATGACATAATTAAAATGTTGATTTCCACTCTACTTCAAGGAAGGAGGGAAGCTTCATCTATACAGGAAAGAGCAATAACAGTTACTGGACTTGAGAAACCCATTTTCTTGAAAAATTGTTTTAATAGAAATTTTGAAAAAAATTTCAACTAACAGTGTCCAATATCTTTTTTTCTTACTAGATGTTCCAGAAATTTCATGTGTCTCTTTTTTTTTACTTTTTTTTTTTTTTGTTCCATTTTCCTTAAAACTTACTTGTTACTCAAATTTTCTATCCATGGTATTCTCAGCATTCTATAGAATCATGTCTTTGCTGCCTCAAGTAATATTTCATTTAGGAAATTGAAATAACATTATGACAGTTATCTCCCCTGATCATAGATACCTGAACAGATGGGATGAAAATCATCTAAAATTAAAGAAATATACGTAAAAAATTAATGGATAATGACCAATGTTTGCTGCAAAGAAATCTACGATTATTTCTATTCTCTTTACTTAATATATTATTTATTTCTTACTTTTGTATGTTAGAATTATCATTTGTTTTCAAGCTAAGATATTTGATGTTACAAATTATTATAATTTTACCCCATCTGTTACTCTTTACAAACAATGAATTCTAGAATTATCCTTGATTCTCAATTAGGATTTTGACCATACCTCCTTGAAACATCAGTTCATGTACAATCACCAAAGTTAAGCAACATTGACCCTGCTCAGTACCTAGATGGGTGACTGCTAGGGAATACCAGGTGCTGTAAGCTTAGATGTGTGTGTGGTATAATGTATAATGACTCAGAAGTGTTAATTGGTGAGTTGAGTTCCAATTTCAGTTAGATCTGTTATATTCACTTATGTACAAATACCATTGTGAAAGGTATAAATCCATCTCTTCTGTTCCTGGCGATGGTTTAATTAGTAAGAGGTGTATCACTAAACCTTTATTATCTCCAAAAATAAAATTGCGTACAAAATATTTAGATTTTGGACTTAAATAACTCCAAGAGTTGTTGATATGCCAGTAAACAAAAATAACGAACTAAACCAATTGACTATCAATTGAAATAAAGATTTCTCTTGACTCCAACTATTCTTATATGAGTATTCTTTGTATTATAATAGTAGAGAGCTATGGAAGAAAAAGTTACTCCCCTATTTGCATTTCCCCCATTATGGGCATTATTATATCCATGATATAATAACACTGTAGTTCACAAACGAAACGGAATGGTTAAAAGGAATAAGGACTGATAAACATGCTTTGTTCTCAGAGAGATTTTTATAATGCTATGGCATACACAAAATTATATATACATATATACACATGTCCCACACAGGGAAATTATAACATATACGCAACAATAAAAAAGGGGAATCTTACTTGTAATATTTCCTGAAGGGACAACTGGAGTTTTACAGTTTCTTTATGAACTTGATGAGGCCATGTGGTTTTTCCTGTAAGACTTACTGCCGTGGGCTTGGGACATACTTCTTCTGCAGGTTCTACATCACAACTGCCCTTTGTCACACCTGACTTCATTCACATGCCATCATGTGACCCTCATGACTATCTCAATGAAAGGGGGAAATTTCTTTTTGTATCCCGACAGTATTATTTCTTATGGCACCAAATGAGTTAATATGTATTGCAAGAGGATACATTTTTTCATTAGTTCTTTTTTTCTGCAGAGGCTCTATTGCCTTGGGTAGCAGACACATTTAATTCACAAATCTTTGCATTAAGTCACTGTCCTCAAGGACACATGGTCCAGTGAATAAAGGTGTTGGCTGAAGTAATCCAGTGACTTGACCCAAAGAGTTGAGAGTTCAGTATCTGATCATGGAACTAGAACAAATCTACCCCAGTAGACTAAATAAAAGATTCGGTTTGAAATTCCTACGTATATCATCTGAAGAAGTCTGGAGCATACAGCAGCTGAAACGTTGTGAATATAACAATAAAAATGAGAACAACAGTTCAAACAATGTATATAGTGTAAATAGTTATAATACCTCATTTTGGAAAAAGAGACAGATGTTGAAGGAAAATTTTGCTTTGAAAATAGAACTGAGCTACAGGTTTGTATAAAAACAAGGTTGAGAACTTTCCCAAAAGTTGAAGTTAACATTTTCAAAAGGAATAAATTTCAACAGATGGAGGAATTTTACATATATATCTTACTATATAAAAAACAGTGTAATTCTAGAAGGGAGGAAATATATTTGTGTGTACGCAGACAGCTGACAGTTGAAGCAAAAACATAAGTTTTAATGTTAGAGAATGTGTGAGTGTCACGTGGCTTGTTTGAAATAAAGTTTGCTGAGTGAGTAAGAAGTCTCCCCAGAGGTTGCATCCGGAGCAAAAGAGCAAGAAAGTGTTATTGTCCTGTCCTTTTATGGTACTGAAATGGTTTCACCTTGCAGGCGTCTTGGCACACAAGGTGGAAATAATCTCCAGAAAAGCCATGGAGAAGTCATCAGAAAACCAAGAAATTATAACAATTCATTAATAATAATTATAATAAAATGTGGAGAGTCATGATAACCTACGTCCTGGAGGATATGACATTTAAAAAAAAGGAGAAAAAGATTAAGTGAAGAAAAAGATACTTGGGAATATATAGTTGTGTCATGTTTAAATTTTTTCTGAATGAATTGCAGAAAATGCAAAGCAATTTTTGATCACTTGGCTTTTGTTATAGCATCATGAATTAAGCTATAAAAAATGTCATCAACCTGTTTGTTTCAGACTTTAAATTCTGTTTCAATGAATTTAACATTGACTTTCTTCTCTCATATTTCAATGAAATATTTAAATCAAAAATTATAAATTCCCAAGTTCTTTTTTGTTTTTGCTGGCAGTTAATAGTTTATTTACAACCTTTTTTATTCAGTTTCTTTCATGTATAACTTTCAGCTTTCATTTCTCTTATAACAGTAGATTGTGTGCATGTGACAAGGATTTTCTTATGATTCCTACTAAAATTTACTGTTTTCTCTGACAGAGTTACATGACTTGGCAGTATTCAGTAACGACTTTGTTTAAACTGACTTCACTGGGGTGATAACTGACTTTCTTTAAATCTTACTGCAAAAGCATTTGAATTTTTTCAGTTTTTTCTAACTTTATCATAATAAAAGTAAAGAAAATAATTTGTATTTTAATAAAAAAAGATTATTTGTAAATCAGCCTGAAACTTAAATTTAGTTTCATCAAAATATTTACTAAATGATTTTTCTTTCTCTTCTTTCTTTCAGTAGCACTTATTATTAATGCCTTTGATATTCAGAGAACTTAAAACGATTACTAGGTTACTTATTTTAGTGCATCATTTTTACTTACAATTATTGCCAGTTGATACAAACAATAGTCAGATATTAAAGTCACTAAAACAATGATAGATTAAATCAATTAGGCCACTTACCTTCTTCTTACCTGTCAATCCATTCTTGTTTTTCTCTTAATACCACTATTCTCTTTATATCTGCTTGTGTTAATTTTTTTTCTTCCCAATTTTTTAATTACCTCATATACAAAGCTGAAACGGTCCTTACTCTATTTTCATGTCAGTTTTTCATTTCATATATTGCTCTAACAAATTCATCCATTACTGCTTTTTCTTATGACTATTACTACTATTATTTCTTCTGTTTGTTGCTGTTACCAGAAATAGTGTGAGATAAAAAATAATGAAAATAATGCCAGACTGCATTTTCCTTGTTGAAGTTCTCCAGAAAGTGTTCGTTTTTTTTTTTTTTTTTTTTTGCAACAAGAAAACAAACATTTCTAAATTGATTCTTCCTCATTATTTGTCAACAGGAAATCATGGAGAGACAAATGGAGAAGCTGAGAAATCAAACTGTTGAAAAAAAGATGTTGGCTGGCAAAGAGTTGAAAGGTTGTAGTTTCTATGGCAAACCAGATGTTATTCATTTTAAGGTAAGTACTAACTAGAATAGGAAACTAATATTGACTGAGATATATATATATATATATATATATATATATATATACAGATTATCAACCCATGATGAGTTATTGAAAGCCAAAACAGATTTTGGATTGTAAGAATAATTATATTTTTTGCAAGTGAATAGGGTGTTAACATTTTTTTTATTTTGAGAATAACAATGATTTTTCCAGATACAAATCCTACTATTTAACCCACTACTGAGAAAAGATGGATTCATACCTTTTCCAAGAATCGCCAATCTCTTTTTAAAAGTAATCTCCAATGCATGCCTTTTCCTAGGATATTTGTGCATAAAAGAATGTAATGAACCTGACTTTCCGAGTTTTCATTCTAAGCCACTATCCATTACACCACCTGCACACCCTACAACACTGATATAATCAAACAGTTTCAAATTCAGTGATAACTATTTTCACTATTCCACTATAAAGTTTTGGGTGACTATTTTCAGCTTTGGTTCTTCAGTTTTCTCTACATGAAAGTTGAAAATAGTTTTTTTTTAATAATTTGAAAAGGAATTAGTGTTTGTGTGTGTATATATATATATATATATATATATATATATATATATATATATATATATATAAATTGTGTAACAGCACATGATAATTGTCTATGCCACAAAAATGTTTTATGTCTAAAAAACACTAAATTAATTGAGTTTGTTTTTCCCAGATTTTCAGGTAAGACATTTAGCCATCTTGACACCATTTGTTGTAAGAATTACTGAAAAACCCTTTGAGTTATTCAGCTAGAAAGAGAACAGGTTAAAATCATTTTGTGTCTGCCTCACTATGTCTTCCCAACTGAGAAATGGTGAAAGGAAAAAGATCATTCAAGCCTTCAGTAATGGTACCAACATTCATACTCCAATAGTTTTATAAAAACCTAGGAGAATTCCAGTAAGATATGTTATAGAGTAGTTTCACAGTGGAGGCTTGTATTTCACTAAGCCGGTCCTAAAAAGGTTCGACATACAAAACGTTAGGAACTTGTTATAATAGTTAATGACGCAGCAATCTAGTTGTGGTGGCTGATACTTTAATGTCCGACATCGACTGACTCACCAACTCTCTGAGCTACTACTACTACTTACTATAGGTGGGAGAGTCTATTAACAATAGAATAGGTATGTTCCAGTATAACAATATCTTTAATCACTTCTAGGATACAACAGTTCAAAGCTTAATCTAACAATTGGATAATTTTGCTGTTACACCAGGTGTGTGTGTGTATATATTTGTTAATTTTTAAATTTCACATTGTACAGTATTTACTGTGTAGTCATGTTGAAACCTTACTAAGGTTAGGAAGTTGTGGAGAGTTATGATAGTCCATGAAGGGACATGCACATAGTACAAGTTGAAATCAGTTGATTTCAAGTTTGTGCAAGTTCTGTATGCTTTTTTTCATTTAGTTTAAAAATTATCTATTTTATGTTGATTTAAATGACAAAACAGATAGGTGATGAGTGGGTGTTGAAAAGTTCTTGACTGGATTCATTTCCTGATTTTTTTTTTTTTTTTTTTTTTTAAAGGCTTACTAGGCTGAGAACTTTTCAGTGCCATCTTATATAATGAATATAAGCATTTAACACTTTATTGAAAGAACTAGATGGAACTGTTATTCTGGCATGACAAGATCTTCAAACTGCCTCATACTCTCTGTCATAGTTAAAATATATGATTTTGATGTTATAACAAATCTATGCAGATAGGGTGCCAAAACAGACATTAATATATTTTTAGTTTGCCTTAAACAAAAAGTAAAATGCCTAAATTTGAAATTTTGTCAGTTTTCTAATGAAAATAAACATATATTTGTATTTTTGTCTGATCTACTTTAATTGTAAATCTCCCATAATAGTCACATGAAATATTTTTTCTTGACCAATGATCTATCCACAATATATTTTGACCTTATATTACTTTAAATGTTATTTGTGTAGATGGGCTATATTAAACAATATTTTATTTTAGCCTGAACATTTGATACGCAAAATAAAATATTGTTTGAAATAAATGGAGCATCTACTCAAATATAAGTATTTACTAAAAATAACGATTAAAATAATAAAAATGTTAGATTAAAAATATAAAATCCGCTAATTATATATATATATATATATATATATATATATATATCTAGCCAAGCAGTCTAAAGTATACCAGTTCAGATAGTGATAGTGGTTTCTCCTACAAGCAGTGACACAGGTTCAAATTGAGCACATTTTCTTAAGTCTCTCAAATGTGTCGTGTGCTACATGTAATTGACATTGTTAAAACAACAGAAAACAAGGCATCTATTCAAATATGGATATCTGCAAAAATAAAGTTTAGAGTAGTAGGAGGGATATATATATATATATATATATATATATATATATATATATAATCATGTCACCCCAAGCAAGGAAGTAAAGCCACTAAGACACAAGGGGTTACTGGGTATGAAAGAATAAGGAAAAAGAGAAACATTATTAAAGAGCAAGAGCAATAGAAGGGTAATCCAGAAGACAGTAGATAATGATTGACATTACATTTAGATTTTTGAAGATTACAGTTGGCTGGAAAGCATGGAGCCATAAGTGAGAAATGCAAGAAAAGAAACTGTTAGCAAAGAACTTAATGGTTACATCTTAGCCAATCCAACTGTAAATTGATGACACCTTACTGTCAATCTAGTAGAATGAAGAGTTCAACAGGACATTTACCATGAAAGTATTTATAGAAAAGGCACAGGGAAGCTGTAATACATCAGTGGCAAATCAACTGAAGCTGAGATGCCAGGTCAGGACCAATAATATTACTGATTCTTCTTTGGATTTTATCAAGAATCAAGATAAAAAAGGAACATTACTAAGAAGTGAGAACAATAGAAGAGTAATCAAAAGGACAGTAGATAATAATTGACATTGCATTTAAATTTTTGAAGATCAAAGTTGGCTGGAAAACATGGGTCCACAAGAGAGTTCCACAAGTGGGAAGTGTGAGAAAAGAAACTGTTAGCATATAACTTACAGTTACTTCTAGCCAATTCAACTGTTTTTTATGAGACTTTGCTGCCAATCTAGTGCAGCACTTAAATTTATAAAGTCTAGGTCCCATAGCAAATAGTTCAACCAAACATTTACCATGAAAGTATTTATAGAAAAGGCAAAGGGAAGCTACATTACAACAGTGGGAAAGTGACTGAAATTGAGATGCTAGGTCATGACTAATAATATTGCTGATTCTTCTTTGGAATTTATCAAGAATCTCTAAATACACAGCATGAGCCTTGGACATTCAAAGCATGGATAATGGTAGACATATAAATATATAAGATAGATTCAGAATAGAAAAATTGTCTAGCATGACACAGTGAACAAACTTTCTTAGCTGCAGACCTAGCAATAGATTTAATATAATCTTTCCACTTCAGTGAAGAATGTTAGCTGAAGAAGGTGCAACGAGTCACTCTCCTGGATGTTAGAAACAGCCAGGCGATTGATAGAAGTTTTATTTTGGATGTGTTAAAATTAACATGCCATTCCTTGCATCAGTTAACAACAGAGTGTAAGTCATTTTTGAGCTCAGCTGCTAATTGACTGTATCCAACTGATCAGACTTAGTATCAAGACAAGAGTAAAGGGTTGTGTCATCAGCATAGATACCAAGTTGAGAACTGATGACAGCAGGAAAGTCATGGATGAAAATTAACAAAAAAGTATATCCAAGTATAGAGCCCTGGGAGACACCTGTATTAGAGAAGCAAAAGCCATAATGCTTGTCTGAAAGAAGGCCTTGCTATTTGAGATGCTTAGAGTTGATTAGAGCCTCTAATAGTTTTCCCCCACCAAAAAAATGTAGACGGTTAATAGGCTAATAGTTCAAAGGTTCAGACTAATATAACATACTTTGCTTTTCTTTTAGTATAGATTACGACTGAAACAATTCAGATATATTTCTAGATTTCTGCTCATTTTCAAACAGTATGATTGCAGAGGTCATACAAAAGTGACCAATCTCTCTTCAAAAGTAATCTCTAAAGAGGTAAAGAAAAGTTAAAGATGTCATCTACTAATCAAAAAAGAAAAAAAATTCCAAAAGAAATTGGCATTTTATTTTCGTTGTTGATCCATTCTGTTTATTTTTGTTCTTTTGTCTCTTTCTTTCAATTCACAAAACGGCATTTGAGCCTACGTGTGATTATTTCTGAATTGGCATTGAACAAAACAAAAATATTCCAAGAGGTAATCAGAAACTTTCCTCCGTTGCTTTGAAAAATTTTGGATATAAGAGTTTCTTTTTTTTGTTGATATAGAAAAGAGGGTTTAGAGAAATGTGAAAGAAATTTGGGTAGGTGAAGAACTGAAGGAAAATAAATGAAGAATATTGAAAGAGATTTGCAAAGAAAACATGTATTAATAATTAAAAATAAACAAAGCTAAACAATAAAAATAAAGAAGGTAACATGTTAAAGATGAAGGAAAATAAAGAGGTGTAAAAAAAAAAAGATGATAGCAAAGATAAAAGGGGAACAGATATAATTTTAACCAGAAAGAAAATAATGTTACAAGTAATGAGATAATAGTAATGATAGTACCCTTTCCTTATAAGGAAACATTTGGCATTCATTCACCATGCAGGCAATTTTGCTGTCAGTTGAAATTTATGAAATCTTTCTCTTAAAACAATTTTTCAGGAAAATAGGTTTCTCAAGTTCAGTAGCTGTTATAGCTCTTTCCAACAGCAATAAAGAATGAGAATAGATAGAAGAAGAATGGTAGCAATAAAGAATGAGAATGGGTTGAAAAAGAAGGAAGCCCCAAGAAAGGAGAGAAAGTAAAAAAAATAACAGGAGAGAGGAAAATAAAATAAAACATGTCTGTAAAAGAGGGAGAAAGAGACCAATGAAATAAATTGAAAGAAAGTTAAACTACAGGAAGAGTGAAATAGAAAAAAAAAGAATAATGATAAAATCA